CAGGCGCAGTCTTAACGGAGTTGGTTTTGTCCTTTTCTTACCTAGATTTAGGGCCTCTCTCCCAGTCAAAATGCACCTGGACGGGCAGGATGACCGAGTGCATTGTCTAAATAAACAGTCTATATTCAAATGTGAGAAGCGGCGAGTGCATCTTCCCTAGATTAAGGGCCTCTCTCCACTGCTCGTCAAATCTGAGAAGCGGCGAGTGCATCTTTCCATCAAATGCGGAAAGATACACTCCGTTTTTAACGTCTAGCGAGTTCGTGCAGGGCGAGTGCCTTCATTGTTTACAAACATCTCCCAAAAAAAAAAAAAAAAAAAAAAAAAAAAAAGTTAACGTCCATCAACTAAAGATAATAATCATCGTGTCTGCTGATTAGTGCTTGCCATGTTCTTCCATTTCTTTCCTTTTGGGGGAGATGAATTTATTATATTAAGTATTAAAAAAAGAAAAGGAAATGACTTCCGTTCCGCTGCGCGCCAAGTTTTGCCGCTGTCTTCATTATTTGTTCTCACCTGGCAATTCTATCCTGCAGGTCCGTCGCCGTCGTCGGGATCCCATCGCTGGTCTGCTTGCCTCTGTCATTCCTGTTCTCTCGTTCCTTCTCCCGCTCTCGTCCTCGTGCTTTCTCCCTCTCTCTCTCCCTCCCTCTCTCTCTCTCTCTCTCCCTCCCATCTTTATCCTTATCTTTCCCGCGCTCACGATCTCTGTCTCTTCCCCTCTCCTTGTCTTTCCCTCTGTCTCGGTCGCGATCCCGATCCTTTTCCCTCTCTCTCCCCCTCTCCTTCTCATAGTCCTTATCTCGTCTCTCTCTTCCCCTTTCGCCTTCTTTCTCCTTCGTTCTCTCCTTCTCTCTAGCATCGCCATCCCTCTCTCTCCCTCTGTCCTTCTGCCTCTCTGCTTCTTTCTCTCTTACCTTCTCTCTCTCCCCTTCTCCATCGCTCTCTCTGCCTCGCTCTCGATCCCTCTCCTCCTCCCTCTCTCTCAGCTTGTCAGCCTCCTTATCCCCTCCTCCATCCTTCTCCCGTGTCCTGTCCCCGTCCTTCAACCTCCCCTCTCCTCCCTCCACTTCCCTCTCTTTGTCGCCTCCCCTCCCCCTCTCTCTATCCCTCTCTTTCTCTGTCTCCTTCTCTCTTCCCCTCTCCCTCTCTTTCTCCCTTCCCTTGCTTTTCTCCTTATCTCTATCCTTATCCTTTTCCCTCTCTCTGTCCTTCTCCTTATCCCTCGCCTTCCCCTTTTCCTTTTCCCGCTCTTTCTCACGCTCCTCTCTCTCCACATCCTTCTCCCTCTCCCTCCCCTTCTCTCGGTTCTTATCCTTCTCCCTTTCCTTATCCCTTTCTTTCTCCTTTTCCTTCTCCTTTTCCTTTTCCTTCTCCTTGTCTCTTTCTTTATCCTTCTCTTTATCTCTCGTCCGATCGCGATCCTTTGCCCTATCCTTGTCTCTCTCCTTGTCTTTCCCTCTTTCCTTCTCTCTCCCCCTCTCTCTCTCTCTCTCTTTCTCTCTCTCCCCTCTCTCGCCCTCCTCTCTTCCGAATCTCTCCTTCTCTTTCCTGCTTTCCTTGTCTTTCTCACGCTCGCGCGGGCGCTCTTTTTCCTTCTCCATCCTCATCTCCTCCTCCCGCCCCATCGTCACCACCTCTCGCTCCTCTAGCTTCGATCTAACGATCCACGTCAGCGCCAAGTGGCACGTGGTTATGGTGAGCCCACGTGGTTATGGTGAGTCCCTGCCGACGGTGCTCCGCCGGGAACAACCCGCGGACAAGCGCGACTCTCCACTGGCTGAGAGTTTAGGGAGGAACCGCCTACCTCAACCACGGACCAGCGACCGCCGCGAGGAACCTGCTCTTTTCGCCGTGTATGATGAGCGCGATGGCTGTGCGCACGTGCGCGCGTTCGCCTGCCTAGAAAGCTGGCGGGGTGGACTTGCGGCCCCAGGCATGTAACGTGCTGCGAGAGAGCGTGCAAACGTATCGCCGCCAGCTGGGGGAAACCTCCACTATCTTCGCCTGACCCAGGCACGGCTGTTCAGACCGAGCCGGCCCGAGCCGACCCGAACCTGCCGGCAGAAAATAGTCAACGTATATGGAGTAGAGGCCACTCGCGGAGGCCCAAGGCCAGGTTCCCAACGTAAGGAGAAGAGGCCACTCGCGGAGGCCCAAGGCCAGGTTCCCAAGTAAGGAGTAGAGGCCACTTGCGGAGGCCCAATGCCAGGTTCTCAAAGTAAGGAGTAGAGGGGCGCCTCATTGGGCCCCTCAAGGAACAACAGCGTGAGGGCAGAGGCACAGCCCGTAGTTTTAGTTTGTCTGTTGAGGTGGTAGTGGAAGAGAAAGGTAGTGATTATGCTGTGTTTATGTTGATGTGGTTGTGGAAGGGAGAGGTAGTGATTATGTTGTGTTTATGTTTGTCATGTTCGCGATACACAACTCCAAGAGTGCGTCTGTTGTGAGTGTGTGCGCATGTGTGTGTGTGTGAGAGAGAGAGAGAGAGAGAGAGAAAGAGAGAGCGTTGCAGCACGCGGCATGTCAGTGACCGGGAGGACAAGGGCATGCACTAACCTCGGGAAAAAAACAAAGCTAATGTTCTATTCGAATACATGATACCCTCCCGAATCCGAATAGAAAACATGTATTTTGTATTCGAATACAACATATTTAACTCATGTACGTTCTTTTCAGAGTGCCTTCCGTTCTAGAAAGGTGGACTAACGGAGGGGGGCGCACGCCGTTTTGTTTCTTTTCGAGGACCACGGCTAATACTAGTTGTGCGCCTACAAGGACTGCCCACCCCCCCAAAAAACCCTGCAACGATCAATTTGGGCCAAAAGAAACAACCTGTATAACGAACGACGAAAATGCCTCACTGTTATAAACGCAACCCTACGGGTTGTGAACAAATTTGTCATGTATCAATCATCCATGAATGACAGTTAGACGTCAGCACAGAGTATTGCACTTACACATGTCGAGGAGACAACATGAGAAGTTTCGGTTGTGGAGGGAGGGGGGGCTCTCCTTCTATGGAGTGCCATCGATCTGGAGCACATTATTTTTTGCACCTCATTTTTCGTTTTGACTTCTTTTTTTTTTCGATGCTTATGAATTTTTTTGTTTTTTGTTTTTTTCCTGTTGATTAACGCAACTAGACATGTGTCATTTCTCATCCTAATGTTGAAATTTGAAAATTAACGATTTTTATTTAAGTATGCATCTTACAAGCTTGCATCCAAAATTTGAACTTTTACGATTTTTATCTAAGTATGCATCTTACTTTTCATTTCAGGTACTGGTTTTCTCGTTCGTCAATGATTTACCTAATAATTTTTATCATTTTTTTTTTTTTTAGTTTTTTTTATTATCTTTTTCTGCTTTTACATAACACCCCTCTTCTACTCTCTCACACCGACTTTGAACACCCTCGCTTTTTTTCTAACTTTTTGTTTTTTTTTCCTAATCACTAGAATCGAATTCCCCTTATCTTTTATATTCCTCCTCTTTTCGTTTGTTTGCTCTCTATCTTTTTCGTGTCATTTTTTCCCTAGGTTTGCATTTTTTTTTCCTTGCTCATTCTCCCCTTGTTCTCGTATCGACCAGATACCCATATAGAAAAAATCGCTACATGAATAGTGATTATGTCCCTGCACGATGTTTTCACCATGCATGACATTTAATAAACCTTTCCTCTCTCTTTCCTCTTGCCTCTATAACCTTACCCGCACATGTATGTGAACTTTCCTTTTGGTCAACCAGAAACCTTGCAAATGGGATCCGCTCTCTATCTCTCACACTTTGGTAGTTAGTCTTAGTTGTGCATCTGATGGTTTTTGTGGTTGGCGAGTAGGAAATACTCGAAGTGTTGATCATGGTCAGATGAACTTTCAACGTGGATGCAACAGATAGCATGGTGTGTACGAACATGTGTGGTGGTTGTATTGGTAGGGTAACGAATGCAAGGTTTTCAATTGGTGTCCCACGATGAATTGTCGACGGTTGCATGATTGATGGGTAGTTGGTGGATCTTTCGTAGAGAGTCGTGTACATGAGAGCGAGGTAAGACACTTCCCTTTTAAATAAATATTTGGGATAAAAGTGAAAGATTTCATAGGAAGACAATGTGATCTTTTTTTATCTCTTCGTATGATATGAGGAGTTTGGTGAATGATGTTGCATAGATAGTCTCGTCGACTATTTTATTAATGCATGGATGAATGTACTATAAATATTTATACTTTGTTATAATTATTGAATTAGAGTTCATAAAGGTATAAATGAATATTTTGTTGTATATTCGAAGGTGGCAACATTTAAAACCACATTCTTTATAAGATTTCATGTGGTAAGTGAGGACGCTGTGTTGTTTGTGTTTAAAAAACGCCCTCCATCAAGAGTCATGGGAATTGTACGAATTTTGTAGATAGATTTCAGACAACTTTGGATAAGTCTGGAAGAGAAGAGAGTGTTGCTTGAGACTGATTCACAAATCATTTTTGAAATTCAGTCTTGAAGGCGAAGTTGAAAAATAAGGTCCTGTCCAAAACGACCTAGTTGCTTGAGATTATCGTGAAGGCACTTAAGTTGGATTCCCAGGGTACATAAAAATACATAGATTAGAGTGAAATTGAGTAGGATATAGCTGATACGATCGAAGATGTAGCCGTCAAAATGCGACCTTGGCTACGACCGATTGGTCAGTTTTACCACCATCACGATCCTGAAAACTGAGGCGGACCACCACAAGGTCATCCACCTATAATTCCGTCCTCTATGGCTTCTCCTCCTTTCCCCCCTCCATCTTCCAAGTTTGCTTATGTAACTACTGCCATGCCTTAATCATCTGCGTAAACGCAAGCCACGATCACCAATCTTCATCTGGCTCATATGATTCACACTGTCACTTCCCAACAATCAGAGTGGATGGATCACCTGATACAAACACAAATTTCACAGATGGATCGACTGGAACATGTCTTGCGAAAACTTATAAGCATGAACACAATAACGGATTCGTCTAGAGCGTCACGAGCCAATCTTTCTGCTTCTTGCTCCTTCAGGCAAAGTAGAATGCTACAATTGTAAGCGGTCTGGATGGTTCGCCCGGAACTGCCCCCGTCCATAGCGAAACCAAACGCTCGATACGATTGCGCCTATAGTCATGAATCAGGGACGAGTAGTTGTGTTGTTGGAAGGAATCAGAGAGTTGAGACACTATTCCCCTTCCCTAACCCCTCTTGCACCCACAGATCAGACTGCATCGACATCTAGTACTTCGTACGAAGCAACATACATCGTCAATCCGTCTGAGTACGTTCAGTTGGTTGGCCTGATTGGAGCTATCTGACCTGCAAAAGATGAGTCTGAATGGGTAAAGTGTCTTTGAATGCCCTAGCCTAGAGCCAAGGCTATATGGCTATTTTGTCTGTTCGGCCTGTGAGACCAGGTTGTGTTTTGACCCCATTGACTTATCGTGAGGGCAAGGTTGCGCAACCCGTAGCAGGATTGCTTATAAGCTAGGCATTGCGCTCTCCTCGTCCTTGTGGACACGATAATGTGAAACTAGGTGCGTGCGCGATGCATCTGGTCGTGATTATGGATATTGATGAAAACAATTGAACTTAAAACAAATAGCAACAACGATGGGAGGAAGAAGTGGACTACGGGAAAGTATTGTTGGGGGGGAAGAGGGTTAATTTCCTGTCTTCCTGCCCCACACGCATCCATGCTGTTGGCCATGCTGAAGCAGTGTGCCGCCAACAAGGCAATAACTACGGCGGGCTCAACCGAGGGCTGGAGGAAGGGGGGAAATGGCAGGAGTATGTGTGTGTGTGTGTGTGTGTGTGTGTGTGTGTGTGTGTGTGTGTGTGTGTGTGTGTG